CTATAAAATATTTTTTTTTTTATAATGAGTTCAAAAATAAAAAATCGTAAAGCCCACAGTCAAGCTAGGGAAATAGTTTGGAATGTTTTCAAATATTTTAAAGATAAAAATGAATACATGGCTAACTGAAGGTTGCATACGATGACTGCAGAAGCTACTGATTATTCTACAATATCAGCTAGACCATAGACGTATTGTGTTTGAAGGTAAGAACAATATGGATTTAACTGGAAATTCTACATTGGATACATTTATCACACTTTAACCTAACTTATTATTGAAAAACAAAAAGAAGGAGTGAGTTAACCGATTTGAGCGGTGGTCAATGGTATTTTTTGCGAAAAATTATTTATTATTTTTTTTTAAGTCAGAAATAATCGGTTAACTCTCTCGGTCCAATTATTTCTGACTTAAAAACTGTTCTCAAATAACACCATTGACCACCACTCAAATCGGTTAACTCACTCCTTTCTAAGGAGCACCGATTTTTAACAAAAATAATTTGTCTTAGGTTTATTTGTTATAATTCAAAAGTTGTATAGTGTAGACTTAAAAGTTTCCCCAGTAAAAAGTTTATTATTTTGACTAAAAATGCACTCCTTCACTCAGAGTTGCGCCAACCTAACCCATGGCGAGCGGAACTGGTGTCGACACGTAGTCAACTGACGGCGTCGCGGGGCTCAGTTTTGGCGCGGAAACACACTATTTTTTATAACCTAACCTTTGTTTCCCAAAGGAACGGGAACGAGTTCCTCTTTAAAAGGAAATTTTACAACACTGATTTGAATCATCGACTAAAACTGAAATAAATTCGGCAGAACGCAATTCTTTAACAATATTATCAACAATACACAGACTAATAACGTTTTCAATTATTTCTCTGGTTGTTTTTTTGGCACATGTAAATTTTTTTCATTTAATAATTGACGAATCAAATCTGAGGTACATGTCATTGATCGAAAACTTTGATTATGAATTGTCATATGCGAAAGTATGATATGCGAAAGTAGCTTCACGAGCTGCTAACGCAAAATCATTTTTATTTTCAGGAATTAGTTTAGAAAAGAAGTTTGAAACTTTACCAGACTGCAATGATGCTCTGGAAGCCAATTTGTGTTTTTGACTTTTAAGGTGATCATTAATATCTGATCGTCCACCATGGCTAACAGAAAAGGTTCCTTGACAAGTTGTACACTGCACGTTAAAATTATCATTAGATTTTGGTTTTGTAATGAATGGAAATTCTTTTTGTAAATTTTCATTTAAGTGACATAGTCTTTTTGGTGATATAATTCAAATGAAAAGAACACAAATAAAACACAACTAATGGAGCGTCTGCCGGGCGTGAATTGAAGTGAACGAATACTGACGGACTATTTTCGACTAGTATTAAATATAAAATATATTATCATGATGCTTATAAAACTATTTAATTATCGTAATAACATGGTATAAAATATTTTGACATAGACGTTTATAAAAACCACGTATAATATTTATAAATAGATTTTCTATACCAAGATAATAATAATACGAGTGCTGTCATAATAAGACTCTTACCCACCATAGTACAGTTTAAGTACACACCAGTCGCAGAGTGCGCGGGCCATATATATATTAACAGTTTTATTTATATATATCTGTGGTGCTGGCCTATATGCGTATTTGGGTAATTGTATGTTGTGTGTTATTATTATCAACAAATAATTTTTTTTTAAAAAAGTTCAATTCCGGGACATTATTATGTTGATAGCAAAATCCTTTAACAACTCCTTGTCCCGAAAAAGTTTTTCGGGACACCGGGACATGAGTTCCTAAACCGGTAACGCCCCGGATTTTCCGGGGCGAATGGCCACCCTAGTATATTAAAATTGTTTTTTTTTTGAATATATACGTTGTTATTATTTTATTAAATTATTAATTAATATTATATTACAATTTTTACTTTTTGTCCTTAAATAAAAGAATATTTGATTTTAAAATTAACAGCGTTAAATAATTTTTGTGACAATTATTGTTTTATTGATATATTTTCGGTAATACTATTCAAATACGAAGAACCCCTGGTTTTCCGTTGTCGCGCCGCCGCCGCCGTCTCAATTTATCTGGCAACGACTGTAATATGTTTTTTATAAGTAATATAATCTGATAAAATGCAATTTAAAATCAATCAGAATTGATGAAGATAATAATATTTTAATTTAGGTTCTTTTCACATTTATATTTATGTCATCAGTCTTACACAAAGTATCATAATCTTAATTTTGTTCTTTTTCATGGTGTTTACAAGGAAATGATTCTGGGACATGAAAATCATCAGGGAATTCTCGTACCTATATAAAATAAATAATACACATTTTTATTTTTTAATGTAGACATACGATTATAAGAATACAAAGATAAAGAATACAGATTTTATTCATAATAACAATTACAATTATATTTGTGTTATCAGTTTTACATAAAGAACCTTTATGTTCGTTTTTTACTTCAGTACTCTTTATTATATGGTTTTTCATTGGTAAATGTAAGTACAACATTGTTAGAACAACTAGAATCGTCTAGACATTTCTTCATAGATATTTTCGCATGGTCGTCACAAAAAAATTATTCGGTTACATGAAAATAATCATTATCTTAATTTTGTACTTCAAGTTGGTCTTCATTAAATGGTTTTTCATTAGTAGATGTATGTGTAGCATTGTTAGAACTTTGACTGTTCGTTAATTTCTTTAAAGAGTCTCACAAAATTTTTTTTCTCGTTCTATTTTAGCTCTTTTATTAGCTCTTTTTTATTTTTTGATGTGGTTTCTCAACATATTATATTGTTGATTTAAAAACGAATAAAAAACAATTTAATTATAATGATGTGTCTATTAAATAATTATTAGGTTTGGAAAAAAACCTATAAGTTATTACAATTTGTTATTATAACACACGTTTTTACAAACGATAACAGTAAACTAGAATTCAAAAAATATACTTACCAAAAACCGTAAGGTAGGTAACTCCAAATCAACTTTTGTAAGTTTGTCAACTGTCAGATGATATGGAAATTAAAAATATATAAAATAATGAACAAACGAAGGTAACAATTAACATTTAACAATAAGTTGTAACCATATTCAGATTTTCTATCATAGTATCATATTTAGTAATTTAGTAATTAATATAACACTGTAAAATACGACAGTTGCTCAAGTAATCAGGTAACAAAGCACGTAAATTATTGAGTACAAATTTTAATATACGAATTACCTATTTGAGAAATATGAAAAATATTCCCCATCAATGTTCTATGGAAACTGCTTGATATCAATATGTATAGTTTGTATAATACACTTGACCAAGATTACTCAATTATATTATCGTGTATATACACTTTACAAGTGGTTAGCACTTGATTTTATTTATTTAATAATATGCATTATTAATACAAATTCAAATAATATAATATTATATATATTATGTAAATCATCGATATATTTAAAGAAAATTTAGTTTTTTTCATGTCTGTCAGCAAAAACGGGAAGTCCAAGCGCGAGCCTCGGCTCGCCCCGGCCAAGGCCCGGTATATTTAGCTCAATGATTAAATAATAATTGATTACTCGGATTCTAATCAAAAAGGTTTAAGTAATGCATAAAATGCAATTTTATTGGGTTTTATTTCTATTTATCAACCCATTATATGAATTGCAAATAGATATTGACACTTTTTTTTAATAAACATATTACATTTTTTAATAGCTCCTTATAATAGGTACTGTTTTTCTTTAAATTTTTAGCTAATCAAAAATAATATATTTACGTATGGAGATGGTGAATGCCGGTCAGTGGCTAAAACCGGTCACACAGGTAATTTCAAATAATTAGATTGATAAAAATCAGTTTTATTCAGCAAATGATTTCTAATAAAAAATTATTATTCCACCAAATTATGATAACAACTGATAACAAAATTTCTTGTTTTCGCTTTTTCGGCCTTGATAAATATTTGTAATATTTGCTATTCGAAAATATTAGAAGACTTGATGGCATCTTATGAAGTTAGTTATTAATCAATTGTATGCTAAATGTTATGTAATTTGATATTATCGAAGTTACATTAATGATGTTAATTTATTTATCGAGATACAAATTAATAACAATTATTTATAGCCGGCCAATACTGATGGGGGAATATTGATCACTTTCAGTTATATAGGTGACTTAGTAGTCGATTTAAAAATACAGGTTTATTTTTTAATGAAATAAATTGAGAATAAAATGCATTTTTATTAAAAATTATATTTCTTATCTTTATACATGTAGTACAAACATAACCAGAAATACCCTTCAGTTAGGGTAGTACCGATCGTTTGCAGTTTTATAAAAACAATTCAAATAAAATACATAATATAGTATTTATTATATACTTAACAAAATCTCAAATAAAAATATATATAGTAGCTTAAAAGTTTATTAATCATACTGAGGTTTGACTTAAGTTTCGAAGTTATTATTAGTAATATATAAGTTTTCTATTAGACGTCCGGCATTCACCATCTCTAACATAAATGCCCAGGACTGAAACTTTTTTTTTTATCCTAATTATATTCAATAGAATCTACACAAACCACTATGGTATTCTAGAACAGGGATTCTCAAATTCTTATAAACACTATACCCCTTTTTATCAATACATTTTTTGAGTAGCCCCTTCTTAGTTTCTAAACTAAAATATATATAAAAAAATGTAAAGACTTCTAAAGAATTTTTTCCTTGTTGGTTAGACTCGCACACCTTAAAACATTTCGTGTACTCCCAAAGGGTAGGCGTTCCACAGTTTGAGAATCCCTGTTCTGGAATATATTTCTATGTTAGCAGAATTTAAAACTATTACATCCAGCGAGGTTAAAAATACCCAACATTTTAAGCAGATTGATTGACCTTCGTGTTATAATCTACAAATATATCCACGCAGTTTAAATTTATTTTTTAATCGTTAAAGTATAACTAACCAAATTTAATTTGTTTTCGGCATTCCGAAGAACTTGTATGCATTCAGTGATCCTTAAAATAGTTTTATCTACATCCTGTATAGTCTGGAGAATGTTTTCATTGGAATTGTCTTCCATTGTAATCGTGTAATTATTTTATTAGAATTTTTAAAGATATAAAAAACATAAAAATTCTTTTTAAATATATAGGTATTTAAAAATAAATAAAATGTGATGTTTATTGAATACTCAATAACAACACGTTGCTAAGAGTATCCGTAATAGACATTTCAAATAGTGTATAAACATTTTATACAATTCACCTTAAAACATTATCTAGAAATTCGCAAGTCACCAGTGTAAATGTATAATCGCATTATCCCGTATTGGAATAATGAACTATTCAATGTTATGATCCAATATTCGGGTGCGTTCATAACGGTTGGAGAGTGCAAATTTCTAGTAAGAGTTTGTATAAAAGCTGGAAATGGGTCTGATCGATTATTATTTGATTTTTGATTATATCGATGTTCAAAGGTAAAATAGAATAGATGAATTATGCATCGATTTATGAATCGGAAAATTCAAATTAATTTCGGAACCGAACAATCGATTTTAGCGAGAACCGGAATAGATTTAAGTCGAAAATATTTTAAATCAATGAAAGATAACATTGTAACAAACTGATTACAGAAAAACAGACAGTCTATTTTTTTCGTACATTTTATTTAGGTTGGTATCTAGTCACGATTATAAAGAGCAGGTAATGCATCGATAGTGGGTTTGTATGTCAGAAATTGTTACGGTGGTACAGGGACTACTTGTCACTAGGTAGTCGCTGCTAGTTAACTGTGCTAAAAATAGTACCGCATGGTAAAGTAATTATTCCTCGAGCATTAATTAATAATATTTTCTTGAGTCTCGACCATCATCGTGCTGTATCGCATCATAGAACAATATAGAAGCGAAACTCGATCACCAGACTGGAGTATTGTTCACCTATGATCTGAAGTCTGAACCTCCGAAAAACATGGAAACCTTTACCACACCAACATGATGTTGGACCCAAGGTCACCCGTAATGTAAACGTTTACTGCCACATAGGTGGTAGGTTAGGAGGTACGCTGCGGGGGGTCGGCTTGTTTACCGTTTCCTTTTCAGTATACAGATTTCATTTACTATTATATAATTTTGCACATTTTGCTTCCACCGGTCCCTACGTTCTTTATTGCACCATTATAAAAAACTACGAGTTTTGTACTCATTTTTGTTTTCATTTGCACTTCAAAATGGGTTTGAAGTGTCTAGTATGCTTTAATAATTATGGACCCTTCTCAAATGTTACTTTTCATCGATTTCCAAAGGATAGCGAAAGGTAAATAAAATTAATTAAATATTAATCTAGCAATGTTGTAATATATAATTTTATAATGTTTTAGGCATTATAAGTGGGTTGAAATCTGCTGCCGTCCTGATCTATTGGATAAGGGTCCACCCACTTATTATCGAACATATAAGTTATGTTCAGAGCACTTTCGCAAAGCAGATTTTATACATTTTAGGTTGAATAGTAAAGCTGTGCCTTTTGTATTTTTTACAGTATTATGTAGAGTTAAAACAAACAAGAAGCTTAGAAATTATTCCTCAAATTTCAAGAACTTTGCAGATCCACAAAGCATTACCCCCCCCCTCTTCCTTTAATGTTTGAGACAAAAAAATTGTTTTCATTTTTGATCCCCCTCATTTATTTAAGGCAACTAGAAAAATCTTTTTCAATTATCGTTTCAAATCTCAAAATAAAATAGCAGAAAAAATCCATCTTACAAATTTGTATGAATCTGATAAAAGTAAACAACGTCCATTGGCACCTAAACTAACAGATGTTCATTTAAATCCTAATAGTTTTCAAAAAATTAGTCAAATTTACCTCTCATGTTCTAATGACTACCCTAGTTTCTTGTAATGAGTTATCACATAGTACCTTCGATACAATTTAATTCATGGATTGTATGGATAAATTATTTGATATATTTAATTCCCGTCCCATTTCTACCGAGGTTTCTAACCACGAGGGATCAAAACGTTATTCGTTACCATTTTCAAACTCTTCTTATCAGAAACATTTTTTATATTTAATGCTTAATTATTTTGAAAGTTTAGAAATTCAAAAATGCAATGCAAAAAAAATGAGTGGTTTAATATAACTAGAAAATATAATATAACATTTATTAATGGCTGGTTAACACCATCAAAATTCTAAAATAGTTCAGTATGTACTTATAGTCTAAATCAAGACAGCCTAGAAAATTTTTTTGGAACTGTAAGAAATCAAAATTGAAATCGAATAAATCCTACATGCATTCAGTTTAAAAGAACTTTTAAAAAACTTTTTGTCTTGATTACTTTGAGCACTCTGGTGCTAACTGTATTCAAGATTCAGATGATGTCTTACTCTGTCTTGAAAAAACTCAACTCTCATAAGTCATAAGTGAAATTAAAATACTTTTCCCTGGAAAAATCCTATTCAAATTCCATTACCTCTACAGTCTACATTCTATTTTGATTAAATAAACAAAATATATTCTTGCTAAATTTCAACTGTATTTGTTCTTTAAACCTAGTATTATAGTTATTCTTTATTTGAGTTATTACTTACATTAAGTAGTTTATGTTAAATTTTAAATATTGAAACATTAAATCTGATAAAAATTAATAAGTCAAAAAAATGGACAAAATGGTACAAATATCATAAGGTTATTTATTTTGCCGTAAGCAAAATGGCAGTTATAGGCTAATTGAGAGTTCCTGAATCCAGCTTTTTGCAAGTGGTGATTGTTTAAAAACATTTTAACCTCCTTCCTTACCAAGAGCTCCAAAATAAATTTATAAATGAGACAAATTTGTCATAATCATAATTGAGAACAATTTTTAGAGTTGTAATAAAAACACCCAGCTTCACTGGTTTTTAATTCTTAAATGCTTTCATCCGTCTAGAGTACCTATATCTTCAAAATAAAATAACTAAACTGTTTTACCTAATAAAAAATGTTTTAAATATTTTCATGTACCTAATTATTTTATGGATAATTTTGTGAATTTTATGATTGTTATGTACACAATATATATATACCACTATTTGAAAACAAGTGTACCAATCGAATTAATAAACAGCTGCTAAACACTGAATAATATTATGACACATATACCTAACCTGTAAATGACGAGGTTATACTCGAAGCCTACTATACAGCAAAGAGACTTCCACGGATTTTATTATTTTTCTTTGTAGTATCGTAGTGGTAAAACGTCATAGTATGACCATATCCATTAAATATAATGTGTTCGGTCTGTATTTCTGTACAGCAACGCAGTCGACTGCAAGCACCGGATAGTATGACTTCATCCGTTTAAAATCATGTGTTTTGTTTAATGCTGTTAAAGCATAGGTTTTCACCGTTGCGGCGAAAATCCATAGTATGACACCACCCTTACTGATTCAAAGAAAATACATTTGGCCGAAATGACAAAATCACTCGACTGATTCGAATTATTTGAATAACAAACAATTCCCACCTAAACTGCTTAGGATTATGCGCTTACTTCAAAAACGCAGTTTTTCCAATACCCTGCACTACGACACCTGCGTCTCGACGTGAGCCCGGCAGGCAAACTGCATACAGACCTGTCATGTAGTATTGCCACGCCCCTCCACACAAGTTAGCCGCTGTCTGTTTCTTGCTCTATAAATACAAAACTCAATACTCTATCAAATTACATTAAACGGAAGTATGATTTTATGTGTTTAATTTAAAAGAAACAGATAGTAATTTTGGCTAATTCACATTTACAGAAATGTTTAATGTACTCGAGGCATTGCCAATTTTTTAATGCGTTTAGTGGCTTTATATTTCAACGCAGTAGGTGATATTTTGAATGCATTTTCTTTGAATTCTGTGTTGACCGTTTTTAGATTAAATTTTGGTTCAGCCAATTCTTTTATACGTGGCGACAATATTGCTTTTAAGGCAGCCCTAGGAATGACACCGGGGTCATAATCCAGATTCAATTGCGTTTCAGAGGATAATTTTCTAGGTACTGATAACCTCTGAACCCAATCTAGGCCCATAGGTGTTATTTGACCAAATGGTCTTGGTTCAGTTGTTCTTACAATCAATTTTTTAACAAATCGTTTCAATTCTGGCACTTGGGATAATCTATCCAACATTATGTCAGTTTGTGATTTCGACATTTTTGATCGTCTTTTGACTTCAGGAGATCTCCTAAATATTTTTTTAGGTGCAGCGTTCTTCTTCAGCCACATCTGATGTTTAATCCAACCATCTGAATTGTTCTTTATCGAAGATTTATTGGGTTTACTATAAAGTCTTTCTGCTTGTTCAGATTTTAGGCATCTAGCATGTACTTGCCTAATTTTAGGTTTTGGTTCTGCAAGCTCTAGAATTCTTGTACGAGTTTTTAGCTGACGTTTCCTATATTTATACCTGGCATTGCCAGATGAGAACGTTCGATAAGCAAGGTCCAATGGCACGTTATGCCTGACTTTGGGTACTGCCAATTTATATATCCTACTTGGGATTTTTCCAGTTAAAGTGGCCTTGTTTACTGGTAATGGTAAAACTGCTTCCAATTCTGGATTTGGCCAAGGCCTAAGACGAACAGGTTTAGGAATTGCCAATTTTGCAATATACTTTAATTTCAATGTATTTTCCCATTTTTTAAAATATCTTTTTGAACACACACATTTGTTCTCCCATTTTTTCTGTACCTTTGTTGGTTTAATTTCCTTTTGCGATTCACTGAACTGTTCGAGAAATTCGACCAGATCATTTTGCCGCTTATGATCATCTAGCATCAACATGTTACATAAGGGTATTGTTTGAATTAATCACACAGAATTATAGAACTACAATTATCAGTAAAATAAAATATTAAGATAGAAATTCTATAAAATTAAATATTTAAACATAAATTATTATAAAATAAACTGTAAAAAAATTGTTGTTATTGTATAATGAAAATCAGTTTCATAGCAACAGTATTGCATATTACGGTGTTTAAATTATTTATCATTGACGAAGACATTAAATCAGATAAAATTAATATTATTAAGAATATTATTATTAATATTACTAGGAAGATAAATAAATGAATTATATACACAGGGATGGATTTAAGGGCAAGTTATAAAGACTGCAGCCTATACAACTGCACCACAAAAGGGCCCTCGCCACACATCATACAACTAAAAAGAAAAGAAAATGCTAATTCTAATAATTATATATTTATTTATTTTTACTGTATTTTATCTCAATTCAATTCAAGGCTTTTTACCAAGACTTTTTAAAAGATAATGATAACTACCTTGTGGTAATTGGGGCATAGCCCTTTTCCGCCCTAAACCAAAAAGGTTCTTCGGCAAAATGTATTTTTGTGGAAAGACGTTTCTGCTAATTATTATTTCGGAACCATGAACAAATATAACATATTCTTATCATTATATAACTGCACATCACATACTTGATAGTATTAGTAAGCCAAATGGCTCTGAAATATCAAAATTGTTTAAGGATTACTTTAGCTCGGTTTACTCTATAGATACCTCAGATTTAAATAATTCTATCTCACAGTTACCTGATGTAATAAATTTATCTAATATACAGTTCTCACTGTCAGAAATATTTTTAGGATTGGACTTTTTATGTACTATAAGATATAAAATATATAAATATATAAGTCATATATAATATTATTTATAATTATCATCAGTATTATTATTAATGCCATTATTATATATATTGTTGCTCCAGTATTATCTTTATCATTATTATTATTATATAATCAGTAAACGATCGAACGTCGGAAAGTGCGCGTCGACGTATCCGTCTTCCCGAGTTTTGTGTAATTATTTTATAATAACCTGTTTTAACTATTTTATATTCGTGTTATATTATATTATTAGTTGTTACATGGCACTGTGGTAAAACTCAAAATTAACTACGTTCAGTATATTTCGTGTAATTTAATTATTCGTTGTCGCTTTTAGTAAGTTGTCACATGGTTTTAGCTTTACGAGCAATTTTTACGTCTGAAATTATAGGTTAGAACCAAGTACCAACCTGCGTGGGTTGATGTTAGTGACGACAGAATAATTGTATTTCGCAGCACACTTCAAATCGTTAGTATCACAAATAGTTTCAGTAAACAGATAGTGCGTGTTATCTACGTAATTGTTGTGATGTTGTTTTTTCGTCTGTCGCGTCTGTCAGTGAATTAATACCAAAGTAGTTAATCGGTTTTTCACCTTCTCGTATTAAATTAATTCGTTATGAATACGCCTAAAATTTTCGATTCAGTTGATATCAATCAACTAAAAACTATTAGAGTCGATGAACTCAAAAAAGAGTTAAAGTTTCGTCATCTTCCGGACAAAGGAAACAACGACGAGCTCATTGATTTTTTATTAGCCGACAATGAACGTCTTGTCGTTGATAATCTTCAAGAGGCAATTATTACCTCGCGTTTTAAATAAAAAGAAGACCAAATCAAGTTATCAGAAATGCAACAAAAAATCGATAGTTATTAAAAAATCGAAACTAAGGATAACAGTACAATTTCTATTGAATTAATTTATTAAATTAATTCATTTAATTTTTTTCTATTTAATTATTAACTCAACTTGTACATACTCAAAAATTGATCTCAAATAGTTTAAGTGCAAACAATTGTAATAATAAAGTTCAAATCTTAACAGCTAATGCTATCTCTTTGTGCCACGGGAAAAAGCATAAAGACATTACTGATTTCATTTTAGAAGTAGAACGTATTTCTAGTCATGCACACTGGACGTCATTTTTAACGTTAGTCAATGCAGTATCTCGACTTAGAGGTGCAGCGCTTAATTGGCATAAAGTATCAGGACGTCGACTTGTTTCGTGGCCAGAATGGAAAGATAAAATAACTGATCGTTTGAAGTGTAAAATGTCTTTCTCTGATTTTTTAAATTTTCAAAGTAAACGTGTCTTACGTACAGATGAATTAACCGTAGACTACATCTTTGATAAAGATGCTATTATCGAAAAGGTACCATTTAAAATGGAACAATTCGATCACGTATCTCTTATTTTGGAAGGAATAAATGATAATATATGGGCCATTCCACTTGATACGATTCGTAAAGTAAATACAACTACAAATACTTACAATCAGAATACAAGTAATAATACCTAGAAGAATACTAAAGCTCAAAAAGAAACAACTAAACAATACATCGTTTTAATCCTACTAGAGATAACAAGGATGAGCAACTGGTTTTAAATATAAAACTATTGGTCATATAAGCTATGACTGTCCTTTTGCTGATAGTGTTTCTAAGAATAGAGATTCAAATAAAGTCAGTAACAAAAACCAAAAGTCAACTGATATTAAACACCAGACTGAGAAAAAGAAACAAGACTTAACAAACAGTAAAAGTATTAATTGTATTTCAACAGAATTAGTCAACATTTCTCAAATACCAGTAACTATTAATGGATCAATTACGATAGACGCCTTGCCAGAAAGCGGGTCATGTGTTACTTTATTAAGAAAATGTTTTATACCTAAAGATGCTGTAATTCATGAATGACAAGACGGACCACAAGGTACGCCTGAGGGAGATTGTACTCCATCTGGATGGATCACTTTAAGAATACAGGTTGGAAAAATACACTGCACTACGCCTAAAGTAGGTTTGTGCGAATCGCTTCCAATTGCTATGATATTAGGACGTGATTGGCAAGCTGCAGTGCATGCTACTATCCACGGGCGCCGACTATTGGGGTGCTGCGGTGCTCGAGCACCCCATGGTTCATTTCATGGGGTGCAGAGCACCCCATGAAATAAATAAAACAAATAAATAGTAAATACCTTAATATTATACATGTTTAGAAATATAAATATAAATTATCATTTTAATTACCTATTTAATATATGTTTTGGGTTTTTCGCTATTTTGGTCGACAGACGACGACTGCGACGATAACGATTAACGATATTCCATAGCCTCGATGGTACGATGTACGTAATGTAGGTATAGTGTGTGTAGAGTGTAGACGTGTAGTAGTACACACTACACAGTAATTAGTCTGCGACTTGCGTTCGTTCGGCGAGTTGTTCTGTACTTGTATTTGTATGTACATTTTACGTTTTACGTATGTTACAGTTTAGATTATAATATAGTTCAATTATTTTATATATTTAAAAACGTCAAGATGGATAAGTGGTTAATAAAAAAATCAGTTCAATCTAATGAGGCTATAAACAGTTCTACTTCTAACTTAAAAGTTGAATCTAATAGTGGAGATTCGAAACCTGTTGAAAATGTAAAATCAAGGAGTTATCAGGAAAAATGGCAACAATTATATCCATGGTTGTTATATGATCCCGTGAAAGAAAAAGTGTTCTGTTCGATTTGTAAGACTGCTGATGAAAACCAAATTAATCTTCCTGTATTTTCTGTGACTGATCAAAATTCTAAAAAGGCATTTGTAGTTGATGGGTTTTCTGCGTGGAATAAAGCACTACAAAGGTTCAAATCTCACGAAGGTATGATTATTTTACTTATTTTACAACACTTTTTTAAATATAAGTTAAAGGATTTATTTATTTATTTTATAAATTAACGCCAATCGGCTTTTAAAAGCATAGACAGCATAGTAGTTATATTTATTTTATTTTAGCTGGTAGTTTTCATCGAGCTTCGATTTCATCTATTGGAGCGCAAAGAAAAGGAACTAACATATGTACTTCTTTAAGTGTTTCCAAAACTAAAGAAATGATTGAAGGTAGATCTGCTCTACTAAAAATTATTTCATCTCTTCTTTATTTATCGAGACAAGGTTTAGCGATTCGTGGCCACGTTGATATAAACTCAAACATTCAACAATTACTTATTTTACGTGCAGAAGATGTTCCCGAATTAAAAAGTTGGCTTTTAAGAACCAAGTATAAATGGTTATCTCATGATATTCAAAATGAAATATTATCTCTTTTATCTAAAGAAGTACAGTTAAATCTTATTTCTGAAATAAAAGATTCTTTTTGTTATTCAATAATATTGGATTAAACACGAGACATTTCCAATAGAGAACAAGTTTCTGTGTGCTTTCGCATCGTAGACAAGAATTTAAATATATCAGAACATTTCTTAGGATTTTTTGAAACTCCTTTTACTGACGCACAGACATTATTTAATTTAGTAATTAATGTTTTATCACAATTTGACATTGATATTTCTAAATGTCGCGGACAATGCTATGACGGGGCAGCCAATGTCAGTGGACATATCAGTGGTTTACAAGCAAGAATAATCGACGTTGAACCTAGAGCAATTTTTGTTCATTGTACTGCCCACACCTTAAACCTCGTTGTTCAAGATACAATGCAGAATATAACGAAGATTCGAGATTTTTTAGCCATTTTACGTTCAATGATATCATTTGTTAAAGATTTACCTAAACGTCAGGCAATATTTAATTCTTTACAAGCTGAACAAAGTATAATCGGTTCTTCAAATAATGTTTCATTTAGGCCTTTTTGTCCTACAAGATGGTGTGTTAGAATTGTTTCATTAAAATCGATTGATTCAAATTATAATTTACTTCGTAAATTTCTTGATGAGCTGACTACCGAAAAAAATGAAATAGGTGCTAAGGCTAGTGGCTTTTCGAAACTACTTTATAAATTTGATTTTTATTTCGTTTTGCAAATTATGATATTCATTTTTGAGAGAATTGAAGTTTTGAATTCGGAACTACAAAAAAAATCTTTGCATTTCCAAGATGCAAGGTTAAAAATTGAGGCAATAATAATTTCTATAGAAGAAAAACGAAAATCAGGTTTTGACCAATTATGGGAAGATATTATCTATAAATCTGAAGAGCTAGGTTTAGGTGAAGTTAAGCTACCTAAACAAAGAAAAACTCCAAAACGTCTGATCGAAGGGGGTCAAGAACATTACTTTTCGTCGGCTAAAGATCAGTATAAAGCGCTATTTTTTGAATGCATGGATATGACGCTATCTGCTCTTCACAACCGATTTCAAAGTAATGTAATTAAACATCTCGCAAAAGTAGAAAACTTTATTGTAGATCCTAAAAAAAAAAATACAGCTATTATAACTGAATACTATGGCTCCGATTTCGATGGGACAAAATTAGAATTACATCGAAATATAATGTTAGATATTGCCAAGGCAAAACATTTTAAAATATCATCAGTGTCAGATGCGATTAATTTTTTTAAACAAGAGTCTTATTTGCAAGATTTAGTTCCAGAAGTGGTTAAATTAATTAAAATCATGTTAACCGTACCAGTTTCATCATGTACAGCTGAGCGTTCTTTTTCTGCACTTCGGCGTTTAAGATCGACCATGACGCAAACACGGCTTAATGATGTAGCATTATTAAATGTACATAAACAAGATGAAATAAACATTGAAGTTATTGCTAACAAATTTATAAAGGCAACCAAAGTCAGGCAAAATACATTTCAGATTTGTTAGAAAATTTTAGATTGTAATATATTCTAAAACTTTATATTTTAACATTTACATTACAAAAAGATTATTTTTTTTATTTGCTTACCTTATACATAGACTGTCTATGTAAACTGTCTTTGTCTATGATAGACACGTCATTGTACATACAAATAAAAAAGTTATTAAACAAGTTAACAAGTAATACTTTGTTGTATTTTTTTTTATATTTTGCTTATTACCTACTTAAATAATTTTAGGGTTTTGGGCACCCCATGAAAATTGGAAAACTCGGCGCCCATGCTACTATCATAATCGAACTGAACGAAGCAATTTGCATTAACACTCCATCTACATCTCATGAATTTGGTTGTATAAAATCTAATAAGTCGTTTGTTTATTGGTTGTGTAATTCAGTCCAGATATGACAATAAACCTCTAACTTTAAAAACACGAACTCTGATTAATAGTAAAGCTAAACCTAACACTGTTACTGAAGATTTTTTGTCAAATGAAGAAAAACAAGTATTAGAATATAATGATATTTTTTCCGCATCAGAAAATGAAATTTGTGAATTTTCTAATTTACATATTATGGAATATTATATTATAAATTCCAATTAAGTGTAAACCATATAAAGCAATGTTCAATAACCTGAAGAAGAAACATATCCACAAGTTGAAGAAGAACCTATAACGAATCATCAATCAATTCCATCAGTCAGACAATCAAATAGAACTAAAAAAACACCACATTGGCTCAATAATTTTGTTTTAAACTAAGATTGTTAAGTTTGTAATATTGTTATTTTATTTTTTTGTTTATAATTCAGATATTGAATGTTTTGTTCATGCAACATTAATGCACATTGTTTTTTTTAATTTTCTATTCATATAATAACATTATTATCAGTTTCTATTTTATTTCATTTAAAAAAAAATATATATAATAATTTAAATATATTTGCTTTTGGGGGTGAATGTAAGATATAAAATATACAAGTCATATATAATATTATCTATAATTATCATCAGTATTATTATTAATATCATTATTATATATGTATTTTGTTACTCCAGTATTATCTTTAGCATGGCTTAAATATACAAGGTTATTGCAGTAGTACCCCCACTATATTGTTTTATCTTGTTAAGAATTTAAAATAGCAGTGTAAGGGGCGAAGCTCTGATTGGCTGTATATTATATAAATTGGCGGTATATTCAAAATTTTTCCATATTCAACATTGATGCAGTATATAATGCTAAATTGTTACCATACCGAATACAACAAATATTTTCTTTAATTTGTATAATATAATTAAAATAATTGTCTTGTGTATTAATGTTGTACTTATTGCTTAAGTTGTATGTAATAAATTGTCTTATATTTGTAATAAATACATCATACATATATATATTATGCCTATTTATTTATCATGAAAGCATGTATTCACTAAATCAGTTATAAGCAAAGTTGGGCCAGTTAATGATTTTTTTTAACTCAATTAAGTTAAAAGTTAATACACACTTTTTATGAACTTTTTATAAGGTTTAAAAAAAGTTAATTTGTTTATATAATTTTTTCCCACCCCAAAACAAAATTATAGACTTTAGTGTTTATACTTTATACAGTATTTTCAAATATAAGTTAGATTGAAAAAAAGACATTATACTTACACAGTCGATTGTTGATGCAATACTTGATGGCAATGCCTTGATATTTGATGAAGATGAATTTGATTTTGAAATAAAAAAAATATGAATGAGAAGATCAATAATGATATTATATCAATGGCTGGCTTAGAATATATCACTGGATTTGTAGCGCATCATTTCAGAGCTAAATATCCACACTTGATATCTAATGGTGATATGAATAATTCCAGTTGGATAGCTTATGCTTCAAGAGGTAACTTAACAGTGCCTAGTGATAAATTGATGGATGTGGCCAAGGTAATGAAGCATTTTTTTACACAATTACATGGAGACTACTGTTCTAAAGATATTTCAATAATTAGAAAAGTAGCTGATAAAGCCATAAATTATTATAAAGGAGATTTACCAGTACCAGAAAAGGTTTTACTATACTTAATACGTACAAGAACTTTTATTTTAGTTCGTGCTATTAATGCTGAACATAACGAATATATGATGACAAAAGAAGAGTAAGAAAAAAATGAGGTAATCAAACTGCAAATTCGTATTAACTATTCCATTATTGTATTTATATAACCTATCTCTATCTACTGGTACTTTTCCAACCGTTTGGAAAACAAGTTAAGAAACCAATATCTAAGGGAGGTGATATATTAAGTGTAACAATTTATCGTCCAATCAGCCTACTTTCAATAATTCCAAAAATCTTTGAATCAATTATATCAAAAAAAATAACTCCTTTGCTATCTCAATTAGTATGTGTAATCTTTCATAAATTAATATTAGACTCCTTTGCTTCTAGATCCCAAGTCGACGTTATTTATACAGATTTTTCTAAAGCGTTTGACAAGGTAAACCATTCAATACTCATATCTTAACTTCATAACATGGGTATTCAGGATCCACTTCTCTCTTGGATTTCATCCTATATACCAAACAGGAAACAAATTATAAAGTATAAAAATTACAAATCTAATCCTTTCGTTGTAACATCCGGTGTACCTCAGGGCTCTCACTTAGCTCCTTTATTAATGATTTAAATTTTTTACTTTCAAGAAAACTTCTTTTTGCCGATGACTTGAAAGTACAACTTCCTAAAATATTTTGTACATTATTAGACATGACAAATCAAAACTAAGCATTTAAAAAAATAATAATTAAAATATTAAACAATACACTATTATGTACTAAGTATTGAAATTAATTCAATTTAATTTTAATATTTATTATTATTCGAAAATCATATAAAAATGAACAACTTTTATACAATTATAATTATTTAACTTAAGTTCTTTTAATTTTACATTAGAATCATAACGAACGCGAAAGTATTGATAACCCCTATAACCCTACACATAGTACACAGACATCTGAGCCTAGTTCTTCACTGTTGTCTGGAACAAATGAAACTGCATCCTCTCTAAATACACCATCATCATCAAATGCTTTTACCATAATGCAAGCATCAACTTCTATTCTGAAAAAAAGACAAACGTCTGTTGTTGGTTATTTACCAAAAAAACTATCTGTAGATGCAAAAAAAAAGTTAGATCAAACGCTATTAAAACTTTTTGTTAACGATTTCCAACTTTTTAAGGTTGTTGAAGACTCAGGTTTCAAACAATTTGTACAAATCCTGAATCCTAATTATGAGTTGCCAAATCGTCATACAATATCCAAAGAACTCATTCCAGCTATGTATGAAAAATGTTTAGGGGAGATGAAAAGCTTGACATCAACTGTTGAAAATGCTTGTTTGACGACAGATTGTTGGACATCTAGAAACAATAAAAGTTTTATGGCCATTACAATACATTTTATTGACACTGAATTTGAACTAAACTCTATACTTCTAGAATGTTCTTCGCTTAACTTAAACCATACTGGACACAACCTTGCACAAGAAATTAAACGAATATTGGAATCATGGGAATTAACTAAAAAAATTACATTTGCAGTTTCTGATAACGCATACAACATAAAAAATGCCCTTAATAACTTAAGTTTAAAGAATATGGGCTGTTTTGCACATACAATGAATCTTATAGTCCAGTCTGCTCTCACTTTAGAAGAAGACCTGATAAACAAAACAAAAAATATTGTTTCTCATTTTAGAAAGAGTACAGTAGCCAACAATTCATTCAAAACTTACCAATTAAATAATGGTATAAAAAAATCCAAAAAAATTAATTCAGGATGTCTCTACTAGATGGAATTCAACATATTATATGGTATGCAGATTTGTCGAGTTAGAAACCTCAATTCGTGGTACTTTGGGTTCACTTAATAATGCTCCTGAAAATCTTCGGCCAGAAGCATGGACAATTTTGAAAGATCTTATTAAAGTATTGAAGCCCTTTGAAGAATTTACTAAAGCTATAAGTGGACAAAGATACACGATTGCGTCATTAGTAATAGTTATTGCTCAAGGACTCTTTAAAGTTTATAATAGTTTAAGAAAAACTAACCTGGCACCAAGAGTTTTACATGTGGTTGATAAACTTATAGCTAATATGAATGAAAGAGACGGATTTAAAAATTTAGAAAAAAGTAAAACTCTTTCAAGATGCACATTTCTTGACCCACGATTTAAACACATTCCATTTAACCATAATGATATTCTATTGAATACTACAAAAAATGATTTAATAGAAAAAACGGCAAACATTATTCGTAGCAAATATACCGAAGAGTATGAATCAGTAAGTTTGGCAGATGTTAACACAAATCCCAATAACGAACAACCATCTATATGGGATGATATTGACAGTTGTGTAGCCAAGTCAACACCTATTGGAACTGCAACATCAAGAGCTATTGTGGAACTGCAACGTTACATGGAAGATTCGATAATTTCTAGACATCAAGATCCATTAAAATGGTGGAAAGACCACAGTTATAACTACCCAAATTTGAGTATTTTGGCCAAAAATACATTGTGCCATCTCGAAACATCCGTACCTTGCGAGAGAGTTAGGTAAGATTTGCATCTTATTGCTTTCCCCATTCTGCATACAAATGTAATTGAACATTAAATATTTAAATTTTTTCGTACGTTTGTGATTTTAAATATTTTATTTATTCCTTTAAAATTAAATATGATATATGTATTAGTAAACAATTACCTATATATTATACAATTTGTAGTATCTATAATTTATAATTTAACGGTTTGAATAAATTATTATAAAAATAAAAATAAATACAAAATATCAATAATTAATATAATATGGATTTTACAATTTTAGATCTTGAAATGGATACAAATTTTTTAGTTGCTCATTTTTTTGATGACGAATCTGTTGAAGCTGTGCCTTCAATTTGGTTTATAGGAAAAAGATTATGTGCTTGACCAAAAAATAATGCACTTGCTGGAAAATTTATTGTTTCAAAATATAAATCAAATGATAAAGAGTTCAAATATTTAAGAGCTAGGATTCTTCGTAAAAATACAGGTAAACTAAAATAATGCTTGCTGTCTATTATTTTATTCAAAATTATGCTAATATGATAAGAACTTGTATTCCTGATAATTATTTTTCAGAAACACTTGAAAAAGCAAGAGGTATAGCAGAAATAGCAAAATATAAATCTGATTTTTCATTAACTGAGGATGAAACTATTAAAGCAGTAAATATATCTAGTTCTCCTTCATCATCGACTTGTTCTATGCCACTTTTTTTCCGACCCCGGTATAAAAAAACATAAATACCATTTCTATTTGTAAATTAATTTAAACATTAACTTTTTTTTGTTGAAAATTATTGACATGCTACACATTAGATACTGAAAATAATGAAAAGTTTTATTCAACATCTTTAAAAAATAACAAAAAATTCGGTTGTAAAAAAATAAAACCTGGATGTTCTCCTTCACCAAATAAAATAAAAAGTAACTATAGTTTATATAGATTAACACGAGTATATTGATCTGTATTTTGTTTTTACCAATTTTAATATTATTTTATTATTTTACTTAATGTTAGATAAAAGTCAGCAACATGTCAATATAGTTCATAATAAGTGTTCAAGTGCCAATAAGCAATTAGTATTTGATGAACAAACAAAATATGATCAACAGTTGAATACTCCATTAAAACAAACAACTTATTGTAAGATTTAAATTATACTTATAATTGATACGGTGCGTCCGGTTGGACGACCCGCGTCGTGAATAAAAAGACAGTGTCGTATTCAGTAATCAATTGTTTCTATTGCTATATGTAAAATAATTATGGTTACAATTTATAGGGTCGAGTAAAGTGTCGATTTGTGTCGACCAGACTTAATTAAGTGGGTCGACACAATCGGAGGCACTTGGGTGTGTGGTCGGGCTAATGCCGGACCCTATCTTTACAATATAGGAATATCAATATGCGGTTAACAAATATATATAGGCTAGGGAGTCGGCCGTCGTCGGTGCAGACTTAAATCAAGCGGCACTCCGACGACGAACCTGGCTCGGGTCGGACAACTTAATTAAGTGCCGATGTAATCAGATGATGGCCCTGAAAAGGGCCCTTTTAATAATCGCGTTAGCGGGACAGCGATTGGTCAGCGTTCGGCGATGGTTTCGTTAATCTCCGATGGCTAAACGGTGTGGACTGTGGACTGCCGGGGCCGTGTCGTCGTCGGATGAGCGTTGCTGGCTGACTGGTAACGGCGATGTTATCGACGGTCGGTGCTTGAGCGACGCCGTGTAGCAGCGGTTCGTCGGTCTTCGGCGGTTGGGCAATGCTAAGTGCCGTGCGGCGGCGTAGTGTTCGGTCCGCGGCGGCGGTGCGATGCTAAGTGCCGTGGGGCGGCGTAGTGAACGTTCTTCGGCGGCCGGACGTTGATAATTGCCGTGTGGCGGCGTAGTTGTCGGTTCTCGGCGGCGGGACGATGATAATTGCCGTGGAGCGGTATCAGGGTTCGTAACTTTAGGGAAATTTCCCTAGTTTTAGGGAATTCTGGACCATGTTAGGGAAATGGGGAAAATATATATATAAACTATTAGTTCTAGGGACTTTTTAGATTTTTAAGTAATATCATTGAGTATAGATAATATCTATATATTATCTATTATACTCAATGGTAATATATAAATATATTTATATTTGGTTGATTATGACAAAAAAAAATATTCTGTGATAATAATTGTTACGATCATAGAATTTCGTTATTTGATAAAAATCTAAATATAACTATTGGTATTTGTAAACAGTTGGCGGCGGTTCCGCCTTCGGTGGACTTCGGCCCCATTTACCACTAATCGCTTTGTCCTGTTGCTTGCTGATTGTTATTGTTATTATCATTTAACTATTTAAGATTTAACGTTATTATTTATTAGTAATATTAGTATATTACGCAGTTGGTCACATTCATACATCAAATTGTACATTGTGGTATTCGGTATTTACAGCACATAACGTCATCATTGATTTTACATTTATAATCAATGGTATTATGTCTATAATATAAATATTAAAGTATACCTTTTGTCCTATTAGTATAGTTTTTAAATTGTCTGTTGTCATCATTTTAAAGTTAACTAAGAATTGTTGTCAATATGTCGGACTCGGAGGTTGATAGTCCTCAAACACCACCTAAAAAGTTTAAACTGTCCTACAAACAAAAATATTGTGTTGAATGGGAGTCAGATACCTCATTTAAGGGATGGCTTTCACCAAGCAAAAAAGGTAATATTTAAATAATATATTCAAGTTATTATAATGTATAGGGAGTGATATTAATATTAAAATCATTATTTTGTTTAAGGAAACACGTTTTTTTATTGTAAAGCATGCTTAGTAGATGGAGTAGCTGGCAAATCAGAAATTACAAAGCACGCCAATGGAAAAAAGCACAAGAAAAATGTTGGAAATGCTAAAAACCAAAATATTTGTGAAATGTTCACAGAGAACAGTAAATTGGATATTGAAGTATGTTTGAAAATGTATTTTCTATTTTGTATATCTATTTTATTATTATAGGTCAAGTATGCTGAACTACAATTGTCATTATTCATAGCAGAACACAATTTGCCGTACTCAATTATGAACCACCTACCTAAGCTTATTAAAAATATTTGTCCAGATTCAAAAATTGCACACAATTTAAAATGTGGGGACAATAAATGCAAATCCGTCATAACAAATGTCTTAGCATCGGTAAGTCACGATAATTTAATGAATGACCTCAAGACACATAAATTTTCTATAATTTTGGACGAAAGCACTGATAGATCGGCAATTAAGCACTTGGCTCTTGTTATCCGAATAGTTCAAGCACCGCTTAATATAATGGATAGATTTGTCACTTTGATTGAAGTGAATAGTGCTACATCGCAAGCCTTATATGATCATGTCATACGGTTTTTTAATGATAATAATATACCGTATAAAAACAATATGATTGGATATGCAAGTGATGGGGCAAATAATATGATGGGCGCACATAATTCTTTAGCCACAAAATTGCGCAATGATATACCAAATATTTTTGTGTTTAAGTGTATCTGCCACTCATTCCACTTATGTGCATCATATGCTTGCATGAAGTTGCCAAAATATGTAGAAGATGTAGCACGAGATGTTTATAATTATATCAGCAACAACCCTAAACGTTTATGTGAATATAAAGAGTTTCAACAGTTTTTAAACTTAAAGCCACATAAACTAAGTTCATCCAGCTCAGACTAGATGGCTATCACTACATTCGGTTGTAAAACGAATACTGTCTCAATATTCAGCTTTGAAGTTATACTTCACATCTGCAGCATTAAATGATGGATTAGATAATGCAAAAATCATTTTAGATAGACTTACCAATCCATTAACATTGATGTATTTTGAATTTCTCGATTTTGTTCTCCCGTTTTTCATAGACCTAAACATTGAAATGCAATCGACAACAGTAAAAATACATGTAGTCTATGATAAGGTTGGTTCTTTGTACAAAGAAATTCTCAATTGTTACATGAAAAAAGATTATATTTGTACAAAAGAAGTAAACGAAATACAATACAGAAACCCTGAATTCTTTTTAGATCTAAAAGATATATATTTAGGTGGTAAGGTGATGGCTTCAATAACCCAAATGTTGACTGAAAAGAAGTTAACATATGCGATGATACAGGACTTCAAATTAAGGTGCCAATGTTTTTATGTGGAAGCAGCTAATCAGGTTTATCAAAGATTTCCATTCAAATTACTTCAACCATTGAAGCACTTAAAAATCATATGTCCAGAAACCATTTTTGATAATGATGTGTCTTCATTGGGACCCATGTATGCTAGTCTACCAATTTTGTTTGGGGACATAGACATCAACGAAGTGGACAGAGAATGGAGAAAATTGCCATTTGTTCATTATGAATCTGCAAAGATTGATCGAAATACAAATATTATAGATTTCTGGACATATATTAGTAAATTGAAAAAAGGAGATGAAACTCCTATGTTTCCATTAATGGTTTTTTTAGTAAAAAATATAATGACATTGCCACATTCAAGTGCATGTGTCGAAAGAATATTTTCAATGGTTAATGCAATAAAAACAAAAGAGAGGAATAGATTGCAAACCGATAACTTGTGTGGTCTGTTACAAACTAAAAGTATGCTAAAAGCTTCAAGCTCTGAGTGTTATAACTATACTTTAAATAATGAATTTCTAAAAAAATTCAATCAAAACATGTATAAATTTAAAAGCTTATAATTTTGTTTTGTACAATGTGATGATATTTATTATATTTATATAGCTTCTTTAAATAACTTGTTCAAGTTTGATCAGTGTTATATTGTTAAATAAGTTTATTCTGCATTATTATTAATTATTAACTGTTATACAATGTGATGAAATTTATATTATATAGTTCTTTAAATAACTTGTTGAAGGTTGATCAGTATTATATTTTTAAATAAGTTTATTCTTCATAATTAATTAATTGTTATAACATATAATATTATAATATTATGTAGTTTCTTAAACATTGAGTTAATGTTAAATGAGTTTATCCTATAGTGTTGTTAATTATTAACTGTTATAAAAATGCGATAATATAATTATTTTATATTGTTAAATAAGTTTATTCTACGTAATTAATCTATTAATTGTTATATCGATAAACTACTAGTATATAACCGGGTAGCAGGCAATCAAAAAAAATTGAACGANGATGAAGTGGCATGTCGTTGATATATACCGAGAATAGGTGGGGGGAAAGACATGATCCTTGAGGTACTCCTGCTCTTATGAGTCTGGTGGAAGAATTTGTGTTGTCGATTGATATGAAAAATTGTCTGTTTTTTTAAGAAAGATGAGATTGTGTTGATTAGCTGGCGTGGTATTTCCATTTCAAGAAGTTTGACAAGTAGGCCATCGTGCCAAACCTTGTCAAAAGCTTTTTCGATATCTAATAGGGCGGCGGCTGTAATTTTTCTTCTATTTATATTATTTGAAATGTTGTCTATAACGTTAATTAGTTGAGTAGTCGTACTATGTTGCGGGCGGAATCCGAATTGCTCTGGTCTGATTTTTGGGAGGACGTATATGTTGAGTCTATTTAATATTAAGCGTTCGTAGACTTTTGACAGTGAGTTTAAAAGGGATATTGGACGATAGTTGATTGGTAGTTTTGTGTTTTTTCCTGGTTTGGGAAGCATTATTATTTTTGCGGTTTTCGACTGGGATGGAAAGTATTCTTGTCGAATGCACCCATTAAATAATTTGCATAGATGTAAGATTGTGTCTTTGTTGCTGCATCTTTTTAGAGCGTGATTTGTGATACTGTCATTTCCCGGAGCTTTGTTGGTCGGCAAGTGTCGAATTGTTTTTTGTATTTCACCCGGGGTGAAGTATATGGTTTGGTTTTGTTTCTGAGAGTTTTTGTATGCTTGGAGAGTTTCCTCTACGTAGTGTTCGTTAGGGTGTGGGAGATTTGTCGTTGAAAATTGTTTTTCCATGCAGTCAGCAAATAATTCGGCGATGGATTGGTTTTCGTAGACCAGCTGACTATGGCTATTTTCAAGAGGATGATGTGGTAATTTTTTACGAAGCAGACTTCGGTTTAATTTGTATAGTTTGGATCTACCATCTGCGTGGTTTTCAGTGGAGAAGATGAATGATGACCATTCGTCGTCCCTATATGATGAAAGAAGTTCCCTTACTATTGAAGTTTGTTTGTTGAGGGCTGTTTTGATTGTGGGGTCTCTTGATCTTTGCCATTGGGCTCTCAGTCTTCTTTTTTGGGTTATTGCTATTTGAATTCTTTTTGGTAGTATCTTACTGTGATTGGTGGGTGAAGAAGTTGAGGTGTTGTTGGAGATGGTGGTTGAGATGATTCTCGTTAGATTTTCTATAGATTTTTCTATTTCTTTTGGGTTTGTGATGTTCGGGGATGGGAGTGTTGTGAGCTTCATGTCTGCTTCAAATTGTTCCCAGTCAATGGTACGTAGTGGCCTTGGAGGGTAGATGTTGGCTGATTGATGGGAGATTTCTATGATGATGGGGGTGTGATCGGAGGATAGCTTTGTTGAGTGATTTTCTAGGTGGTATTGCAGTTGTTCAGTTTTCATTATAGCAATGTCCAGTATGTCTGGATTGTGGTTATGGTTGTTTGGGTAATGAGTGGGGGAAGTTGGGGCAGCTATTGCGATGTCTAGTCTTGAGTCCAAGTATCGGGATAGTGTGACACCAGCGTTGTTGTTGACCCGACTTTGCCAAATGGTGTGTTTCGCGTTTAGGTCTCCTGCAATGATGGTGTTAGTAGGGGTGTTGAGTAGGGCATCTAAATCTGAGGTTTGTAGGGTGTCTTTTGGGCTTTTGTAGACTGCTACTAATCTGAGTTCTGCATTTCCAGTGTGAATGTGTATTGCGGTGTTCGTAATTGAGGTTGTTGGGATGATTGCTGGTTGGTGAATGAATCTTCTGTTAACTATGACAGCGGTTCCTCCGGCTGGAGGTTGGTTGCTTGTTTGGGTCTTGTTAGAATAGTAGGAGTGGAAGTTTGGTAATTTGAATTTTTGACTTGAAGAGAGGTGAGTTTCGTTTAACAGTAATATGTCTACGTTTTGTTCTTGTACAAATTGTTGTAGTTCAAGGCGCTTCCGAGTAGCACCTTGTGTGTTCCAAAAAAGTATGCGGGTGTTATTCATGATGGTTAAGGAGGAGAGGGATCAATCATCAATGTCAAAATAGAGATAATAGCATCTTTTACTGTAATCTTGTTGGAAGTGATGTTTGAGATTAATTCTGTGAGTTGAGTGGTGATGAAGGTGGTTTTGTTTTGGAAGCATACGAATTTGAATTTGGATAGTCTTGATCCATTGGTGTGGGGTTTTGAGGAGAGTTACTTGTAGATGAGTTGATAGGAATTATGAAGGTGTTTGATGGTGATGATTTTGATGTGTTAGGTCTGTTTGGGGCTCTGATTGATTTTTCTTGAATTAGTGCTGGACAGTTATCGAAATCGTCCGGTATATATACCCATTTCGATAACTTAGTCCGTTGCTGATTGGTCCGTGCCTCTGTTGTGACAGATGAAAATCACACCGTTGTGTTGCCGTTCGCCTTTACTTGGTGTGGTTTTCATCTGTCAGACCGCTTCGTTTTTAGTCAATTAGTGGTCTTGATAAAGACCTTTTTGTGTATCTCGGTTTATTCCGTAGCATAATTTACATAAAAATTATTATTATTGATACTTACAAAAATAAATTTAATTTTAGTAAGCCAAACGGAGAAAAGTATTAATGAACACAGTTAAGCATCAAAACTGTTTGAAATAAGCAAATGTATTATAGTATTATACATATTGGCAATTGAAATTATTATTAATTTTAAAATATGATAAAAATAATAATATATTAACTGTATTTAAATTATTGCTAAAAATTAGTTATTGAAAATGATGATCATGAATATTTGATGAATAGCTTAAAAAATAACAAAAGGTTTGGGTGTAACAAAATAATTCCTGGATGGTCTCTTTCACCAAAAAAAATTAAAAGTAACTATAGTTTTTATCAACATAATCTGTATCTTGTTTCTACACATTTTAACATAATTTTATTATTTTACTTATTGTTAGATAAAAGTCAGCAACATGTCAATCTAGTTCGTAATAAAAGTTCAAGTGACAAGCAATTAGTATTTGATGAACAAACAAATGATCAACAGTTGAATACTCCATTAAAACAAACAACTTATTGTAAGATTTAAATTAAACTTATAATTTACATAAAAATTATTGTTGAAACTTACAAAAATAAATTTAATTTTAGTAAGCCAAATGGAGAAAAGTATGAACGAACACAATTCAACATCAAAACTGTTTGAAATAAGCAAAGGTATTATACCTATTGGCAATTAAAATTATTATTATCTTTTAAAATTATATGATAAAAATAATAATATATTTGAATTTTAATTATTGCTATAAATTAGATATTGAAAATGATCATCATGAAAATATGATGACAAGTTTAAAAAACAACAAAAGGATCGATTGTAACAAAATAAATCCTGGATGGTCTCCTTCGCCAAAGAAAATTAAAAGTAACCATAGTTTTTATTAACATGAGCATTCTTATTATTGCTAATTACCAAAATATATTTTATTTTAGTAAGCCAAATGGAGAAAACTAATAATAGACACAATTCTGCACAAACATCAGCATCAAAACAGTTTGAAATAAGCAAAGGTACTATAGAATTATACCTATTGGCAAATTAAATTATTATTATGTTTTAAAATATGATAAAAATTATAACATTCTATAATATGTTTAGATACTACTGAATGTCTAAATCAAATCTTAACTTAACTTTTTTGAAGTATGAACTAAAACAAGTCTTAAGCAATCAAATAATAATTATGGGACGATTAGAAACAACTGAAAATATTTTGGAGCAACGTTCTGGTGTATTTGACAAAAAAGAACAAGATTGTATGGATTTAACAAATTGTCCGCTTCCAATCAATAACAATATTGATCTTACTACATTTTAAGATAAGATATCTGGCGATCAAGATTTTAAAAATCAATTAGTAAGTTATTAATAATTAATTAATTTTCTATTTTATTATATTTTCTTTAATACATTTTTTGATAGGAATATCTCTAAAATGTTCTAGTGCTTTTGTAAGTTATAATGTTATTGTTAGGTAGTTCTTACTTCTTATACAAATATATATTGCAATTTTATATGATAATAGCATTAATATATTTTTCACTTGTACGCCATATTAGCATCTACTATCTAGATTAAAGGATTATAGGTACAATAATATATTCAAATAAATTTTGTTATTTTGAGGACTTAATATTTTTCAGCATCCTAACATATAAGACTGTTGTCTGTTTTATTATACTTAAAGCGGGCGCTCTTAACATATACTATATAGTATCTACACGAGTATACTTTAAATTGTATGGAATATTGATGTTTTCCAAAATGTTTATTATATATTATTAATTATAAATACACCTTTTTTTTTAGGTTACTGAGCTTTCATGTATTGGTGGAAAAAATGTTAAATTGGTTGTTAAGAGAATCATGTCCAAATTATTCTGTGACAGTTTGCTATCTAACTACTCATACACCGGGAAAAAAGGAAAAGATAAATTTTCAAGTCTATCAGTATGCTCAGTTGTATTTGGTATGAACTAAGAATAATTTTAAATAATCTATTATATCTAAATATATATATATATATATTTATGCCATTAGTAGTATATAAAATTATACTACCTACTAATTTTTTTCTCCAACTTATTATTTAATTACAGATAATTATAATATCAATATAATAATTACCTTTTTAGGTGCCGTTAAAAAACAAACAAAATTTAAGAATACTCCATTAAATGAAATAGAAGAAGTCATAAAATACATTTTGGCACAAGCGCCTTTAAATTTAAAAAGATTAGAAGCTAAACAAAATAAAAGCATTTGGCATATTATTATGTATTTTAAATTAAATTACTTTTAAAATTATATATATACATTTTATAATTTTTAAAAATGTTATGAATTTTGAACACAATAATACTTATTATGTATATTAGCCGTGTAATTATATTTTGTTAAAAAATAAATTATAATATATATACACCTAAAATAATTTAATGTTGTTAATTTGTAGATGGTTATTTATATGAGTATATAACACCTGCATCGTATCTATAATAATTAATTAACATATTCTCCATCATCATCATATTATATTTGATTATTGGTATGTATGATAACAAATACCGAAGTGTTTATTTTTATATAATATATTTATACCTATATTAATTAATAGAGGGGTTTCATTCAAATTTACTATAGTCAGAGTTTTAATCAAGGAACATGATTTATTTTTTTATAAGTGAATCTCATGCTTTAAATCTCAATTTAAACTTGGATTTGTAAAAATAAACAATTTGTGTTTAACAAAATACATAATATATTATATTTTTATTACAAACATTATTAATAAAACATATCAATTGTTAAATCAATATTGAATTTAATTATTAGTATACATTAAATATCAATGGCAAGTTAATGTTAAAAATAATGAAATAGAATACGGTACACTCACAACTACTACCACGATCAACATTAATGTCACAACTACAACCAAAATCTCTAATGGCACAACTACTAGTACTAGTAAGCAGTGGCGTGGTGAACATTTATAAACCATGATGCACAACAATTTTAGTTCCTACCCACCCACCCAGAAGCGCAAATATGTGGGAGGCTTACCTACCCCCTCCAATAAAAACTTCTTGGAGCAACCACAAAAAATTAGAATAGAATAGGCATTTATTCAAAAATATGCATTTGGGGTTTGAGCCCCCCCCCCCTGAAAAATTGCCTATTTGCTCCACTGCAAATTTGGTGGGCCCTTTCTCAGACACCATCCCTAAAATATTTCCAAAACAAATTAATGAAAACTATAAACTAATAATGATTTAAGCACCTATCTACTTATACTTATCTATATCGTACATAGGAATAATGAGGATTATAAAATTATAAGAGGTTTTTCCCTCTTTTGTTGTAATTGACTCTTGATTTATCATTTATTGAAAATGTACCAAGTATTTATTTAAGAAGTAATTTTGGGAGTTGACACACTCAAATATGTTAACAAATATGTCAGCTTTTTTTAAATTGTACCATACATTAAATATAAATTAAACACAAAATAGTTATAAAATTGGCAAAAAATAAAATTAAACTTTGCAATACCCAATTATACGACCATATTGTATAGTAATTAATATTTACTTAATGAGAATAATACTATATTTTGATAGAAATGTAAATTATTTACACTAAATTATGGGAAAACAGGGATATTATACATGTATCACAATTTATTTAATAACATTCAAACTTTGAAATACTTTTTAAACAAATTATGTAAATAACAGTATGTCAGTATACATAAATTAATAAAAATTGGTTTAACTAAAATATATTGTTTAAAATTAAATTTTAAATTAAACAAACAAAAGTGCCCTTTGTAATATTGTAGATGATTGACCAAATCGATTAATAATTTCTTCGTAGTCAATTTGAACATCTTTTTCAACGCTAAGCATTAATAAGCTCTCAAGCCTTCCTTCATTAACCGTGGTCCTCAGTCTAGTTTTGATAAGTTTCACCTTAAGAATCATATAAAAGAATTAATAGTTAATATTATAGAATTTAAGTATGTTAATTAATTACTTTTGAAAATGTCCTCTCTGCTGATGCTGAAGACACTGGAATTGTTCCATAGGCTTTAAATGCCAAATATAAATTAGGAAAAGCAACAGATAAATCCAGAGTTGATAATATATGAAGCATGGCGTGGAATTTTATTTTTTCTAATTTATCAGTTATTTTGCTGCTTTCCCCACTACTACTGCTACTTCTACTGCTACTATTATTTAATTCACAATCAGAGTTTTGATCACCTTCTCCTTGTTTAGTAGTTATATTTTTAATTTCTGTATGAAGTTGAGATGGTAAATTAATACTGGAAATTAACTCATTGAAACTTTTAGCAAATGTTTTATATTCGTTTTTTAATTGTTCTACATTAAGGTTTTGTATCCAAGTTCCTAATCTATTAAAAGCATCATACGGTAGTGTTTGATTTTGGTCGTTATATAATGCTATTCTTTCTGGAGATAACAAAGCTAAATCTTTCATTATTTCATGGGATTCATTAAATCTTGTATGAATAGAATTTATGATTTGATCCAACATTTTAAAATAAGTTTCACATTTATACTTATTTTCTGGAGAAGATAATACTTCATCCCTACTGTTTTCACCAGGCATCCTTTTTTTATTTCTTCTTCTATTTTCTTTAAAGCTTGTAGAAGAAAGACAATTATTTTCGGCAAATTGCTTTGCTTCGCTTACTAATTTTTCATATTCAATATCATTCCTTTTATGAGTTAATTGTTTTAAGCTAGTATTCATTAAATTAATAGCTTCTATAAAGTCTAAGGATTTGGATTGGAGATAATTCGAAAGAGTTGTAGTAATACCAAATATGTTTTTCATAAAAATCATGGATAAAATAAAATTGAATGAGGTTATTATTTTTAAAAAGTTGTTAGCTCCAGCAGAAGTGATTCTATCTTCAGAGTTTGATAGTTTTTGAAGTGAATCTAGTAAAGCATCAAATTTAGAATATACAACTTCAATGACACGGCCGTGTGATGTCCACCTTGTGTCTGAAAAATTTTTCATTGATCTAACACGCTTAAGAGGTTGAAGAAGCTTTTGAGATTTTACAAATTCCGCAGTTCTTTTTCTCGCTCTCATAAAATTAACTAAAGCTTGAAGATCACCAAAGAAATTTTTTGTATTGGTACTAGCATCGGCAGTGTCTACGATTACTAAATTAAGTCTGTGAGCGAAACACCACACGTATATGGCTTTATCATTTTCCTTTTGAATTAATGTTTTTAATCCTTTATATTGTCCCTGCATTGAAGCAGCACCATCATACGATTGTGCATATAAATATTCTTTCCAATTAATGTTATACTGTTGCATTATTTTTTGAAATACATCAAAAATTCCTTTACCTGAACTATCTTCGGCAGTTTCCAAAGCAATTAATCTTTCTTTGATTTTTCCCATATAGACATACCTTAACACAAATACTACTTGTTCTAAACTTGACAAAGTTAGTTGACCAGTAGTAGTGTCTATAATAATACTAAACATTTGTGATTGCTTGACTTCTTCTAATATTATTGAACGAACATACTCTTTCATAATATCTAACAATTTGTTTTGGCTTACATTTGATAAAAATGATATCCGATTCTTGGAAACATTATTTATTTTTTGAAGGTGCAAATTGAGAACTGGATGATACTTTCCCATTAAATTAATTAGTTCAAGGAAATTTCCTCTATTGTTAGATGATTTGTGCTCATTATGGCCTCGAAGAGCAATGTTTTGTCGAGCAGTATACAATAATGCATCAATGACTACCTTTACAATCTCACGATTTTCGACTACTTGTTTATTAGTTCCATGTACCATTTTTAAATCAATTCTATGGTTATTGGTATAAAGAGCTTTACTCATTTCAGACTGTAAATGTTCCGGTAGTAACTCATGTTGTTCAATATTTCTTTTAATATTAGACCATTCATTTGTACCCTGGGAAGCAATTAACAACTTTTTTGCTTTGGGTAAACCAAACAATTTACATGTCACGCAGAACACTCTGTTCAGAGCAGGAGAATATGATAACCATGATCTTTTACATGGGGGTTGATCCTTTAATTGTTTGTAGTAGTAAACATCATGAAAAGACCTTACCTTTCCTGTTTTTGTGTTGGTAGTTATGGGATATTTGTTATCAATTAACTCGGAAGGTTGACAAGGACCCAACTGGGTAAATAGCAATAGCTGAGCGTATGGTACATAGTCTGGTATATAGGCTGGATCGTTTGGAAAATTTTGAATTGTTAAATTTAACTCAATATCATCTGAAAATGTATTTCAACTGAATAATTATAATTTATAAATTTAATCACAGTATGAATATTATTTGATAAATAAGACATTATATCTCAATGACAATATAATACTAATATTTTATCCAGAAGGTCTAACACTTTGAGTAGCTTTAACTTGGCACAATATTAACGAAAAATAAAATGTTTGACGTGAAAATTCTTAAAAACAATAGTTAAATATTATATTTGAATTATATGTTGATAGTGGTTTAACCAATAAATATAAGGTTGAACAAATTTTAAATATACACTTTTAGAAAAGCATGAGTTAAAATTATGATAAAAAAAAAAAATTCAAAATAGTGAATACTTTTCAAGCTATTGAGTGTAGTCACTTAAATAGATCACTCTGTATAGTGTTGTAAAATATAAAAAAGTTTGAAAATAAATAAAATAGCAATATTCATATAATCTTAGACATTAATGTAGTACTAATTAAACTTGTCTCTCCAACAACAAAATTTAAATTTAATATATTTTCCTTACTTTCACAAAATTACCTAGCAAATCTGATCTTAATAATATTTAATGCATATTAAATATTAATTATTATTAGTTAAACAAAAAAATATAAATTACTTGTTTCTAGATGTTCAGCCATTGATGCATTAGCACTTGACTCAGCTACAAAATCAACCTCAGATATTGGAACTAAAATAATTAATACACAAATTAGATACCTCAATTTACTTATACCAATATACTTTTATCAATTATTGTTTTTATTTAATATCATAATAATGATTATTCTTATTATTAAAACACAATTATTTTATATAATTACCTGGGACTGGAAGACAAGTAGAAGTAGCAGAGACAATCGGTTCTTCAAATGTTGTATTACTATTTTCAATATCATCAGTATTCATTTCTTCTATAATAATTCAAGTAG